CTACCGTTCTGGGGTTTATACCGGCAGTGTTTTGGCGATTGGTTTAGTCAAGTAACGTTTCATAACGTTTATAATTATAGATAGAGCCCAGTTTTCAAGTGCATACGCTTTCTTTCATGACAGCTTAGTAACGAATATACAATATTACATTATTTGGAAAAAAATGAATTACTAAACTCCGTTATTTCGTTATTTTTTGTGTGAAAACTGTTATGTGAGCCACCTGTTGTAACAAAAGTACGGATAATGGTTCACAGGTGTATCGTTTGAAAGTTAAGGTCTCTGTCACTCACTGCCAGGAACCGGATAACATTTATTACGATGCCTTAGCTATACCTAAATAACTTTGTCAGGTTTGTAGCGGGTTTCACACGTCTCGGTGTAAAAGTTCACGATCCCACATACCACCCAAATACTCACGCTGCCCGCTAATCCATACTGTCGTGGAGGTCGGATATATTGTCATATATTTGCTAAGGAATTTGATTGGTTGTGACACTGTAACAACGACACTGATTGGTTGATGGCTATCTAACAACGTCAAAACATCACTATGCCACTTTCAAATGTTATCGTGTTATCCATGCGTGTCGTATGTTTTTCTCACCTGTTTAGCTTGTAGCCTAACAATGCCATAAATATCACAACAAAACTGTTAATATGGAACGACATTTATTAGGGTCCTGGAATTAGACAACAGTACATGACAAACTTACTAATTTCAATCTAACCTTTGCAAAAGAGAATTCGTTTTGTGGAAAGTACAATACGATGTTTAACAACTCTTAAGCAGAAACTCAACCATGGATAACGAAATGCTTGAAAATCAGCACGTTATAACCAAAATACGTTTTAACAGAGTTTTCATTAGAATCATGAATGAATTATTGTTAAAAAAAATTTAGCCGACAACTCGTTTTATCGGAACAGGATGGATGGGTATATTCTTAGGTCTTTGCATTGTGATAACCCACTGTTTGTTTTAAAACATTTTAGTTCACCAAAAGGATTTTCAAACATCAAGGGTGTTTTTATGAGGTGAAATATATGTATTGTGTTTCATAACTTTTATCTAGATATGTTAGAGATTTATAAACAGCTTGAATATCTTGCCCAGCATACCCCCCGTTTGATAAATGTAAGACGTCAAAGCCGAGAATAACCATACTCCATTTTCTGACGAAACAAAATTCCACGTGGCTTAAAGTCAAAATAGTCATGAATAGTGGATAAATTAATATCGACACCGGGTATCCAGCGAAATTTACACCATGCCTAATTGCAGTATCCTTCCCTCACACTAAGCGTAAAAAGTAAAATAGTTGTGAATATATACAACTGAATGCCGATAGCGACACCGGGTGTCCACGAAAAGTTTACACCATGCCTAATCGTAGTACCCTTCACTCCAACTGGGCGTAAAAATATAATAGTTGTGAATATTATGTGAATAGACAACTGAATGTCGGTGGCGACACCGGGTGTCAACGAAAAGTTTACACCATGCCTAATCGTAGTACCCTTCACTCCAACTGGGCGTAAAAAGTAAAGTATACTCCCCATCAAAAGTTTAGACTCACTAGTGTAAATATAGCCACTTACTTCAGTCAACTGATCTAAACTAGATTTTGCAAAATATTCTATTCAGTTTAAGGGTACTGTTTACACATGAACTGATGTATTGTAAAACAAATTCGTAACGTTGAAAAGATTATTGTCATGAGTTCAATAAATGATGAAACTCAGTGAAAATTGGCGAATTCTTAACAAAACGTTACACCAAAACGCAGCTGTTCACATGCACGATATTTCCACATGCTTTTCAGCAAGTTGATGCATGATCCTCGTGCAATTCATCTGCATAAGGTTTGCAGTTGGTTCCCCAAGTTAGTGGAGAAATTCATCTTCGATGTAACCACATGTATATACATAACATATAGTGAGTGTTTTAAGTGAGTCTAAACTTTTGATGGGTAGTATAGTTGTGAATATTATGTGAACGGACAACTGAATGTCGGTGGGGACACTGGGTGTCCACGAAAAGTTTACACCGTGCCTAATCGTAGTTCCCTTCACTCCAACTGGGCGTAAAATGTAAAATAGTTGTGAATACATGTATTATGTGAATGGACAACTGAATGTCGGTGGCGACACCGGGTGTCCACGAAAACTTTACACCATGCCTAATCGTAGTTCCCTTCACTCCAACTAGGCGTAAACTCCACTCACACTGGACGTAAAGAGTATAATACTTGTGAATATTAAATGAATGGACAAATCTGTGAAGACACCAGGTGTTCGCGCGAACAGTACACCCTGTCCTAAAATGTATGTTTTGATTGCTACTGAGATCGTATAACACCACGTCATAATATATGTTAAGTGGGTGTCGACTTAAATAACCACCCACGAGTTCTTTCCAACACGTGCCAGTGTTTGCAGCAAGACATTCATTCTGGAATTATTCCAAAGTTATAGCAATGTAACATTCTCCGCTAATCCTCGAGTCAACACTTTCTGAAAATATTATCCATAAAAGTTTTATGTGACATACCGTTAGAATATAAGGAAACTTGTTGTACCGAGAGAATGCTATACTTGATTAACGTGCAAATGTGTTAGTTCCATCGGAATGTGAGTGAGTGAGTGAGTTTAGTTTTACGCCGCACTCAGCAATATTCCAGCTATATGCCGGCGGTCTGTAAATAATCGAGTTTGGACCAGACAATCCAGTGATCAACAGCATGAGCATCGATCTGCGCAATTGTGAACCGATGATATGTTTCAACCAAGTCAGCGGGCCTGACCACCTGATCCCGTTAGTCGCCTCTTACGACAAGCATGGGTTACTGAAGATCAATATTCTAACCCGGACCTTCACGGGTCCCATCGGAATGTGAATACTGTATGTATGATAACACCCTTGAGTAATCAGTTAATTCAACTTCATACCCGAAATCAAGACCTTTTTTTAAAAAATTTAAGTGGAGAATTCTATTTGTTCTCGTTCTGGTTGTTTATACGTCCATCTTTGAATTGGTAACATTTAAAAGCTTAATGAATCGTGAAAATGCACAGATGACAACTGTACACATTTCATGTACTGTTTCTGTTGTCAGATAATAATTTGATCGACCCTTCGGCTAAACACCGAAAGTACATGTCTGAACAAAGCATGCACATGTTATTTAATGTGCAGCGAAGTTCTGTCATGTAAAACGCTGGAGGCCATGCGTCAGAAAGAACAGTAATTGTGTTTGGGTGTTTGGCCTTTAAGGATTATTCAATCACTGTCAAGACAGGGGACGCCAGAAATGGGCTTCAGACATTATACCCATGTGGGAATCGAACCCAACTTTCGACGTGACAAGCGAAAGCATTACCCACAAGGCCAATACATCCCCTTTCCGATTTTGACAATATGAAAGAAGTATGAAAACAAACACGTACTGACCATCAATCAACTTACTATCGTTTTCATTCATCGCGAATACAGCGTGTTACAAGTAGTGCGTTTCTAATGACGCTGAGTATAGTGTAGCAACAAGATTTTCTTTCTGCACCGCGCCGCAGATGTGACGTCACGTACTATCGATTACAGGGTTCAATTCCCCAACGTGTAAATTTATCCTTATGAATTGATTCACTTTCGTTGAGTGATTTGACCCAGTGTTACAAACACCAGCCCCTGATGACAAGCGTTGTGTGGTGAACTCTACGCGTAAAAGTCCCAATATTGAAAAGCATCAACACTGACGCTTTTCTAAAGTCTCCATAGATGCATCAGTCATTTAACCTGAGACATAATCTGCCGAAAACTGTACATAAATCACTCAAAACTGCTATATTTCCAGTGTAACTTGAACTCGTTTTTTTTTTCAAGAATAAAATTTTACAACTTCTTGTTATGATATATTTTGTTAAAAGCGTATGATTTTAATTTTTAATGAAGTTTGTAATGCGTTCGTTTCCTAAAACCGTTCCCAAGTTGAAGAAACTTGAGAACACATTAAAAACATGAAAAGATATCTTTCACGAAGAGTGCAGGTGCAATCTCTACAACGTGATAAGTAAAATTTTAAAATCTTTAAAAAAAACCCATAAAAATGAACACCATATGTTCATCAGAATCAAATAACAATTAAAAATCTTGACCGATGTGACATGAGAATAAAAAAATTAGTTATAATAATTGTCGGTCACCGTGGTAACGATATTCATCAAAACAGAATTTGTTGAACCATCGACTTAACAAAATGGCAAATGGAAGGTAGCAACGAAATGGTTGATAAAGAATTCTCACTGGGTATCAATTGCATATTATCGGCTGTTTATCAAACCCTTCTGGAGCGCTCGGTACCCGTTGACTCATGCGGATGTTGGACCGTATTTCCAAGAGGAAATTACAGGCAGAAATGCGATACAAATGCATATTCACTAAATGTGATGTCTAATCACTTCTTCTGAGGTAATGTCATGTAAGAGCTCTTGACAAGACCAGAGGTTGATGTGAATAATTCATGAAATCGACAACCACGAGAATCACGTGGAAATCGATCACGGTTGCTTATTGCAGTGTAGTTTCAAGGTGACACAGTTTAGGTTCAATCTTTGATTTCTTCCTTATATGTTAGAGACCCTGGTTAATTCGCTTACTATTCCCGTGTCAATGCTATTGCATTGAAATGGGTATTTTGACGAGGAATTGATTTTTTAACAAAAATATTGATGTGCATTTCATAGTTACGATGATGTATATGTTTCCGAGGATTGTGTGGTTGTGTCTGAGGATCGATTTTATGTCGGTTTTATGATAAATGTTTGATGTTGAATAAAACATTGCTGTTTGGTGGAAAAGTAGCTCGAACATTCCGATATATTACTGTTCAAAAAAGAAAACTAATTTTAACACGTGAAAACATAAAGTACTGTGATTTCTATTTAAATTCGTCGTTCTACCGGAAATACACTGATATATATAAATGACAATTTGCTTTCTCGGTAAATTTTATTCAAATATATCTTCTTTTTTAAAAAATTACATATGAAAATATTATTTCATAACGTCCATTTTACAGCACCGTTAACGAGTGTAATTATACTCAAGTCACAATTATACAGGACCTTGAGTAATTGACTTGGAAACCAGGAACAATAAACACAGGAACACCAGTGTCAGAATGTCGTTACTTCAACCGTATGTCCTCTTCAGCAACATACCGTCCTTTGTGATGGAAATTGCTCTTGGGGTTCGCTTTGCAAATAAGTCAACAAAAAAATCATGATTTTTGTTTTGTTAACGATTTACCAGATTCATGCAAACATTCCTTTTTCAGGTTTAACATTTTCTCAAAGCAATTTCTCATTCTGAGGTGGTGCTCGCTTTCTTTCAAACATAAACTGTCTTCGTGTGCAAATCCGCAGCAACTGTTGGTAACCTGATTCTAGCCAAATATGTTTGATGTACATTTCTTTTGTCCTGTCAATCATTCTAATCGTCCAGTATTACATCCATTAGGTTGGTTTTCTTTTCGTCTAAATATACCGGTTGCTGTGGCGAAAGAACATACTTACGGCCGTCTTTCAACAGCTTCATAAATACACTCGTCATTACTTTGAATATCCAGATGTACTTTGTCCACGGTGTCCGGTGATGTCTGTTTCTGTCATTCCTGTTTTGTCATTGCAATGTATCTTGTAACTTTTCGTTTACTCCACTCTGTTAATATATATCTTGCCGTTATCGTTGTTTATTACTGGTGTAAATAGCTCGCCCAGCCTTCAAACTGTGGACGATCGATGTGAAAGTATGAAATAGTCAAAACAGCATCAGAGAAACTGGTGGAAACTTATCTGAATATTAATAAATGGCAACTCTACATCTTGCATTGAATCTGTTCTCGTTTATAGCAAAATAGAACACCATACCATTGTAAGAGAAATACTTTTTATTCTCTTTTGTTTGAAACATACTTACGAAAACAGCAATTCTCAGGACTGGTATCTAAAAGAAAATGAAAATGCATTAAATTGTGATCATATGAATATGTCATTTAATAAATAAATAAATAAATAAATAAATAAATAAATAAATAAATAAATAAATAAATAAATAAATAAATAAATAAATAAATAAATAAATAAATAAATAAATAAATAAATAAATAAATAAATAAATAAATAAATAAATAAATAAATAACGCCTTTGCAAAATCTTTTAAAACCCGCAAAATCTGATTATTGTTTTCATCAAAGCCGACTTTTGTGCTAAATTAGCAAGCGGAGCAGTTCTTTGCGTCACGAAAGATCTCTACGCGGTAGACACAATTTATAGCCTAGAAACCCCTTTAGTTCATAAGGTTAAGTGACGGGTGCCAAAGGGATAAAATGATTGGTGGGAAGTGGTCACGTGATCTGTGTTTATGCTCTCAGCCGGGAAAGCAGTTCTTATGGGGGTAAGTTAGCCTCTTAAATCCTTCCACAGATGTTCTCGTTTTTATTGCAATATTCTTGAAAAATGTTTTTGCTTATGATGTAAACACAGAAAATCCTTCCAGCTCAGGAAAGAATGTCAGTCACATAGAAACACCATTGTCGTTGACAAACGTGTAAAAGCGAATCGATTTCGATGACGTTAGATTTATACTTTTCTGGCATGTGTGGCGAGATTATATGATCTCGCTGATTACTTAACAGCATTTCGGGAATTCGTGATCAATGCGCGCTTCTATTGTTTTGAACGTTTAGCGTTAGGTAGCAGATGGTCAGACAGTGAGATCTCATTTGAAACTGACTTCTTTATGTACACGAATAACAGAACCAACTGCACGTGTTTGTTCCAATGACGGATTGCTGAGATTTGTTTAAACGAACTCTGAACTGTCTATTACTGTTTAATATTTCATTGATGAAAAGCCCATGGAAGTATGATAAATCAACAAATTCGACATGTGATTCTTATGATTAAGCTGATTTCATAAAAATATTACATTTAATAACAGTATACTTAGAAACGAATACAATGTATTATTTGTTACAAGGAATATCCTGTACTATTTCAACTGTGACGAGTAACAAGCAAACAGTATCATGTAGCATACAAATACCAGGTGATAGATGCACCTTCAAAGAGAACAATAAACATATGTAAAATTAACCATTCATTTCGGATATTCCATACACGACAATTTATTCATATTAAAGCAGAAATGTTCATGATACTCAACAGAATATTCACCATGAAACTCGTCTCTCTGCTTCGTCTCCCGAGCGGAAGCCTGGGTATAAACACGCGCTGTATGCTTGGTCGAAAGGCGAGAGATTTATTACGCTTTGTCGATAGTAAATCACTGCTGGTTTATGTTCTCTGTAATTAACCTGCGAATCACAAATTTATCTATCACTCACTTTGTGTTTGTAAATCATCCGTACCAATCAAAAATTTCATAGATACTTGTAAGGCTTATAAATTTTCTGCCTCTTGCAACGGTATAGTTTAGTGGCGAGTGTTTATGATCGGTTAACGGGCAAATCGGTTTTCAAATGAAATGAATTTTTTATGATCTAATAATGTACCTTCTATGCTAGTGGAACGGGTTTCAGTATATCAAGTGACTGTGAGAGACTGCACAGCGAATTAACGACTGCTCGGCAAAGCCTCAAAGGTTTTGAGCCTAGGAGAGAAGAAGTCATAACTACGTTATTGTCGCTTTATTTGCAGCTTACGAAATCAAGCGGGGACCGTTCGTGCTCTTGCGCGTTACGGGCCGAGATTTTAGTCTGACATTCTGCAAAGCATTTAACAGTGAAAATCAAGCGTACAAAATTACACGAAAGACGAATTTGAATTTTAAACCACTTAAACGACAAGAAGTTTAAATATTCAAGTCCAATTTACTCGATTTGTGAACCCTGGGTTTGAACCGTGGAATGGGTTTTAGTCACGGAAAAACAGTATTTGGCAACGTGAAATAGTTTGAAGATAATTCACCTGGCACACCCGTGGATTGCGGTATTGTCAGATAATAATCGAAATGGTTGTCGAAGATCACCAATGTCAAGACAATTATAACACGCTGTTTTAAAACGGATGATATTGTTAAATTTATTGCTTTAATTCGACCTAATTACATGTTGAATTTTCTACGTCATAAATAATATTAATATGGGGTTAGTGTTTTCTCAAGAATTATGAGATGCAATGTCATAGGTTAATGGAAATTTTATCAAATTAATTTAGAATATAATTGTTGTTTTTATCGTTGATATTTTATCTAAAGAAGTTTGTCCAACGGCCTCTCCTATAATAGGCTATTTGTAATCATGTTTAAGCATTAAACCACGTCACTTTCAGATTTTTCGTAAAGAATGTACATTCGTACACCACAAGCAAATATGTGTTTGAAAAAGGAAAGCGTTATGATTTTATGAATTATAATACGTCATTTGTTACATACATATAAGATACCAATGCTCCAGTTAATGATATTACAAGACAAGTATCTAGTTTCTTATCTAGTTCCTAACATGCTTAAACCTTAATCCCTTAAAATTAATTAATATTTCGTTAAAATCGAACATCAGCTTATAACGATGCAGGTCTAATAGTACGATATAGAAAATATTACACGTTCCACCCGTCCAAGATCTGGATTGTAGATACAAATATTACGGATGACATTGCACCTTGACAAAAATACATTTGCCTACCACGTTGAAAAAAAATAAATAATAGATATTGAACTAAACGACAATACAAATTTTATTGAAAACAGATGGGAGGATGAAAATCCCATCTACCTACGAACTACCGATGTGCTAAGCGATATGGCGTATAGCTCGGAGTAGCTTGGCGCTATGCTTGAATCGTTACATGATTTATGCGTTTTCTTTTAACGTTTTATATGCTTAAACGACGGGGGAGAAAAAGAAATAGGCCTTTGATCTTTTGCCGAGTTTAGAACGGATCCTGACTTTGAATAGCCGGCTACCAGAGTTCTCAGGTGGCTTTGCTATCAAAGCCTTCACGAACGGGTTTTGACGCCTGTCTTCATGCTTTGCATACTCATATTCTAAGTTTCTAGTCCCGGGCATTGAGCAAAAAAAAAGAGGCAAAACGCGTGTATGAGACGCATAGCCTAAACATCTGAGATCCCGCTGAGTGAATTTCAAAATATCGTTCCTAAACAGATCGAAAGAAGACTAGACGGTTTTAAGGTGTATAAAACTATAACCGGGAATCGAAACGAAACGAAACGTTCCGATGTTAGGTTTATTCAAAGTATAATTATTTCGAGAAAGTCATTGCCTAATAGGTCGAAATAAAAGCGAATTTGTCTTGTGTGTAAAACTACAACTGGGCATCCAGACGAAACGAAACATTAACAGACATTCTTTTATTCCCCCGTCGTGTTTCAATGGGTACAATTTATTGGGTCATTTTCACATCACTTTATGGAGTAAGGGTGATTACCAATGTCGGCTAATCAATTTAAGGTGTTAGTGATTTTTCAGACTAGTTTATCGATCTGATGGGCCAAAGTGACCGTAATGTTGAAGAAGTCTTGTAAACGTTATATCGATTTAAGATATTAGCTGTTTCGCGCAATAAACAGCCCCAGGATTGATTTTTACAACTACCTGAGCGCCTGGGCGTTGTAAACGAAAGCTATAAACATCACGCGAGTCTCCTGTCGAGGACAAGTTAACGTACATCTGAAGAAACTATATTGTACTTAGGCAGAATTTAGAAATGAATTATTTCGTATTTTTGTCAACATAACAAACTGAAGCCATCGTGATATTGTACTTTCTGACAGTAAAGAAACTATTGAAACAGTAGCTCTAATATAATCGATTAAAACCCAAATGTTTTAAAAACAATAATTAAATGTCTGCAATCTTACTAGACGTGTCGATGGGACATGAAATAACACAGTGATATATTTATAACAACGTAGGCTTTATTAGGAATGAAGCATATGCGAATGCCTGCATATAATGCATATAAAACTATTATGAATTATTCATACTAATATTCACCATTCAATATTTACTGAATACATGTCAAATATATTTCTAGTATTTATCTCTTAATAGAAATTATTCTGTATTTTATGTTTTTCACATCAAAAAGCTATATTTTACGTTCGTTAAAGGAATGGAAATGCTTTAATACTACATCTCAATCTGTTGTTTTCGATAGAATTGTTTCGGCAAATTTATGTCCAATAATAAAATAACGTTATTAATTTTCCTTTTATGCATCCTAAATGTATTTTACTGTGAAGTAATACAAAAGTTATTAATGTTAGTTACAAAATAATTTCTTGGAAAGTAATAAAAAGGCGTGGACGTCGATAGTATTTTCCATCTTATTCACATTATTAACGGAAGATGCTGAAACTACAGATGTGTTGTCGCCGAAGCTATGTTAACATGGCTGCACTTGTCGAGTTACATGTCTGTTTCATGTAAACCACATGTATATTTCATAGCAGTCGGTCTTGACAAAGGCCTACTGTTTTGTTCCTTGTAAAGGTACGGTGAAATGTCTCAAGCGTTGTGGAATTTAACACCGCTATGATTCACGAATAGCAAGCTATGTAATTATTAATTCACCAACAGTAACGGCAACAGCGTGGGCTTTATTTAAGTAGCAAAGTTAATGAACAAGAAGGAAGGTAACTTTGCAACTGGAAAAAATCATTAATGGATCTGAAATACTTCAAGTGATAAATATTGTGTATTTTGGGTCAATATATGCATTTAATGTATAAGAAATGTGGAATTCTACATTATCAATACATTGTTACAAATAAAAGCGAATAATTGAATGCAAGATCGTTTTATTATATGAACGGTTTTAAACCGATTGATCAAAACTAACACAACGCTTAATCTATTAATCAACGGCAAAAATCTTACGATTTAAATCCCTGCTCAATATATATTATTTTATTATTTTTATTAAAATATATTATGATAGGGGTAGAATATTTCTCGTCAATCTTTGGTAACATCCAAGAGGTAATGGTAAAGTAGGATTAAAGTTGGCGACATTTTCTAACGGAATGCCGTTAACTGAGACACTTGGTCATGTCGAGTCACAAGCTTGTCTCTTTTCATCAATTTTGTGTGTTTAGCTCAACGAATGAATGATGAATGTACAATCTACCGCCACAGTTATGTTTAAACAAAATGGCCGGAAAGCCCGCAAAATGGCGTCGACTGGGAAACCAGCTTGGCAGAAAGATTGATTTTTTACAGTTAACAAGAACGGGCGAGTTTTCTCTCCCATTTCCGCCGAACAATAGCTAAAGAGATCGAGCAGGAGTTGGTAATGTAGGGAAATGACCAGTGATAGACAACGGTGACCAGTACAGTAAGTGATCTTTATTCACGGTCAAGTGACATTTACAAGCTTTACTTTAATAGAATATCAGCATGGATTTGTTTACATTTTGTCAAGGCTCTTGATACTTGAATGAAACAAGTTCATTGAATTTTCGATAAATAAGCTTGTTGAGTTTCCATGTACCTTTTCTTTATACTGACATTTATGCTTGATACTATTTACTGTGATATATGTTTGCATATTTTTAAATTATAATCATTGAAATGATTTTCGTTTACTTAGTTTCGATATTCCACTAAAATATTATACATTTGGAGAAATTAGTTTTTGTCGTAAACTTTGAGGAGACCTGTGGGTCTGGTTTGCACACTTTGTTTAAATACCAGTGACTGAGAAAATATATTGTTCAAATAAAGCACAACTGATTTGTTCAGAAGAAAATGTTGCAAGAGGATATAGGTAATTTAGGTCAAATTATATCAACGTAAGTACATATTTCCCGTATTTTGTAATGCCTCATGTACACAGCCCGAATTATTTGTCAAGTGTTCTTGTATATATTACTCTGTCGCGCATGACTGATTGGGGACACGTGTCATGTATTATGTTCACAAGAGCCTTATAATTATACACAGTGTACACAATTTTTAACGCAACACTCTAACAGACACGATTACATTCAAAACAACTATGTTTCATATGCCGATATTTCACTATTTGCCTTGACTTTCATCGCGGGTATGTTAGGGTAAATCTGCAGTGGAAACCGACTTAGAAAGTTAACGAAAATGTGTCTTATCGTGTTAAAACTGCGATATTTTCTTACCTCCAAGATTTAAATCCAGGCAGCGAGTACAAAGGTTCGGTGTCTTGTGTTGCTCGGGCGCAAATGCGAACGTGGCTCTACGCGCCTTTGATGTCACCTTACTATTGTGGGTTGGGGCTGATTTACGACTCTACTCCTACGACCGTTTCTCGGAAGCTAGAATGGATAACAAAATATTCCCCATGTAAAATAAGTGTTATCGGTGTAGGTGATTTATGATAAAATCAAAGAAATCTCCTCCGCGAATACTATAGGTGCATTAAGGCACCCCCTCACTCCACGGAGCGTTTTTTTTGTAAATCGTTAAACATCAATGAAATCACTTTGGATACTTCGGCAAACTGCAAAGCGCTTTATCTATCCATGTCTCCTTCAGATGAAATTTATTTAACTGGAAATAGATTTGGGAGGGCGGGATGCTGACACACCGGTTTTATTGCCAGGCCCCGGGCATTGTTGAGGGGGGCCCCTAAAGAGACTTAAAGCCAGGGTGGAAACCTCTACAAATAATGATAACGTACACATTTTAACATTGTTTTCTTCTGTCTGAAGATCATGGCTGATTGTGTCGTTCAGGGTTTTATTCCCATCGTAAAGCCAGTTTCAAAAGAAAAGGGTAATTTCCAATAATGCAGCTTATTGTTGATAGTCTCTGTATATTTTCAGGTCTGCAAGGCTGACGAGATTAATTAGTATCTGTGAAGACTGGCGGGCGGTAAACGCTGGTTGAAGGCTTTTGAAGTTGTGCTGGGCTGCGGCTTCTCATTCGTTTTCAAGGATGGAGGGTCCCACTATGAGTTCCTACATCCCGAACTCCTACAACTCTAGCCTTGACCCAACATCAGTCGGCTCGTGCAATGGCGGACAGATTCACATGACGCCGAACTCTAGTTATCCTTCAGTTCGGCAGCTACAGAACTATTCCTATTCGTCTTATAATGCTCAGTCAATGTACCCCCGTTTCCCATCATACGACAGACTGGATGTCCGCTCTATGGGGGGTCACGCCCAGTCAAATGACTTTTATCGCACACACGAGAACAGTACTCCCAACAGCGAAAACTGTCGCCAGTTCGGCGAACGAATACCGGAAACAGACATCCCAGAATTCAGTAGCTGCAAACTTAATGGCGGACACGGGTACAGTGATAAAGACACAGTTACTGACTTGCCGCAGTCCGACTCCCCCAGCCCCTCACCCCATGGGTCAGATGGCTACCCTGCAGGGTGCCCAAATGAAACGGGTGGCGACACCGGAAGTGACAGCAACTCTACCTCAACACTTCCGGTTTATCCCTGGATGAGAAGCCAGTATGGTGAGGCTTCTTCCAAGAAACACACGTTAAAACATAGCAAAATAACATTCCTTACTAACAGAAAGAACTATCAAAACCAAAGAAAATAAACAAATATATCTAATAAAATACGAAAGAGCTTTAACCAGTGGTGTAATTTTTACCATTTCGCGGCGACCACATTTAGGCTTGTGTTGGGGTGAAATAATCTATTTGTATTTTTAGTTATTTTATTTTATTTTATTTTTGATAAAAAAGAAACACTTGCCTTCTCTTCATTAGCATTGAAATATGTAAGACCAACATTTTCAATTCAACGAAAGACTGACGAAATTCCAAACAGAAAATTTAGTAACATTTATAAAAATATCCAAGCAACGAAATATTACCTATATCCTAGATTAAAAATAGCATCGGCAAGTAGGAATAGATCTCAGACATGATATCATCGAAAAATAAACTATGAAAAGTTTGTTTGAACACATGCATTCGATACACGGGCATAAAAAGAAACTGTATCATCTGGTTCGTCTATCTGTAAGCGCAGGTGTGAACTGATTGCTGTAATCTCGAATTTTCGTCTGACGTTTGATAGAAATGTGCCTAGTCTTTGTCGCCATAACCCCAGCGGTTAAGTGATGACAGTCACGCAATATACTAATATTTTATCATGGCCCAGACTTCAAAGGAAAGACTAGTCTCGTTCGCATGATCACATAACATCGACAACCCTACAACGACCTGTCATAACCGCCGTGCTCCATCGAGTACTGGAAAAAACGTACAGGTGGAACAAAGGACGAACAGAGTCGCTTCCCCTTAATTGTATGTTTAGGTGACTGTGTGCCCAGCAACGTTGTATCGTTGGCGAAATGTCTCAAAAGTTGAATATCAATCTCAGACTGTTGGAGTGAAAACAAATGAAATAGTAATTTATATTTTGAGGTATTGGTTTGCGATGAATACACAAGGTCCCACCTAACTGGTAACTTTTTTCTCTGAGTTGCACACAAAGTAATATGGAAAGCGATATTTCATGTCAGTAACTGTTTTTTTGCTTGTAAAATAAATAAAATTTTGTGTCAAATCCCGTATAAGATTTATAGTTATGCAAACGATAAATTTATAAATTATTGAAAAGTATTTAAAATATCAAAACTAAATCCATCGGAAATAGTAAAATAATATTGAAAATTCTGTTTAATTAAAGTTAAGGGCAAATGCACGTAACGAAAAATATTGCTTTCAATAAAGTGACTGTAAACACTGTATGTTTCAAGTAACAAAGAACAAAAAATCATATAGATATAATAATTTGCTGTGAATTAAATAATCCCAGCTAATTATATTCATGTTGAAACTAATCATCTAAGCACTGCATTTATTCATAGGTAACTAAATAACCACATAATTTTAGTACTGTTGAAATTTAAGACATGTTTACTAAATATCAATAATTGTATTTACACTCATAAAAAAACTAATTTATTTATCTTCTTAAATACATGGGTTCATGAACGAGGGATCACTAAATATAGGCTGAAATTTGTGTCTAACTCACAATTAAATCAGTTTCGATAGAATGATCATCACCACTGTGGTTTGAAATTAAAACGAAGAAAAAATTGAGTGATTAGTTCAAAGAATAAAGAGTATGTTAAAAGCAATAATTCCTGAGAAAACACCGCTGCGGACGAAATTAGACCCCAACAACAAAGTGTGATCATTTTTGACAGATGATTTTACGCAGCCACTGACAGTTGTAACGACGGAGCGTTTGAAAATAGTCATGTCGAGTACCTGCTGCGCGGGTTTGTTTTTAGTGTAAGGGAGACAACTCCAGACACTCTTGTAACAGCATTCTCCGTAGGGGGTGTAAAATATCCTGCTCGCTTTTCATGTTGTTTGTTTGTTATATATTAACCAAGTATCTCGTTTCCCCAAACATTCATTAGTGAAGGTCTGATCTTATAAACATTGCGACAATTCTGGCAACCTACAAAGGATAAATTGTATGATCCACAACTGCGATATGTTTTGAAACAGTACTATCCATATTAGCAAAATGTTTACAACTTCATATATTTCGAACTTTACAAAACACGTGTTATCTTTAAAAAAACACATTTATTGATACATCCGTCTTGAAATAGATAACAGTTTCACTAATTTTTACGTTTATGTGTAATATTAATATATCAAATTTTCATTAAATATGAAGTTATTGCCACGTCAAACCCGTCATATCAATGAATGATATTAATCAAACGGAGTATTTGCTAAATTTCAATCCAGTAAATGTCACAGATATCAAGATTTCGTTATCTAAATTTTCTAAAAATCTTAAAGTTGAAAGTTTACATCAATCAACGCTAATCTTATCATTTCTACCATTGCAGGACCCAACCGAAAGCGTGGCAGACAGACATACACCCGATACCAGACCCTAGAACTGGAAAAGGAATTTCATTTTAACAGATATCTCACGCGCAGACGCAGAATAGAAATTGCGCATGCGTTGTGCTTGACAGAAAGACAGATAAAAATCTGGTTCCAAAACAGACGCATGAAATGGAAGAAAGAGAGCAAGCAGATCGATACACCAGGTGCCGAAGGAAGGGATTCCGATAAGGAAAAATAAGGCATCATAGCACAACTGGCAGCGACAGACTGATAGGGTTGGAAGTCCGACAGATGCCACCGAATTAGGCCACGCCCACCGCATGCTGATTGGTGGCTTGGTGTTGCGTGACAGTCATGTGACGCAACTTGTCATAGTTAATGATACTATGCATAAAGTCACTAGAGAGGCAGTCCGCCTTGATATCTACACGAGAAAATGCCTTGCGGAGAATTGATGGATTGGTCAGTTTATATCAATTTCTTCAGTGCGAATAATTATTGCAATGTGCTCATCGCCTTTGAATATACTTACCTTCATATTTAATTCATGACGTAACAGAAAAAAATGCTGAACATATTGTGGACGTTATGTCTGAAAGATTTGAAATTAGCCATGTTGTAAATTTATGCATGGATGTAAGCATTATGTTTATTTCGATGCCTTATGATAATGAATAATTGTTAGACCATCTCGTCTTTACTGACAAACCACAACTTGTTTTGGGGATAGTGCATTTACTCCATTCCATCCGTTCATTGAACAATTGGAAGAGTTTACCATACATGTTTGTGAAAAAAGGGTTTTAGAATATTTAATTCCTTTAATTTTCCATGTGTTTGCAAATATGAAATTTGATATAATATGAAAAGTCAGAGAATAGCCAGTCTCGATTAACCTAAAATATCAAGAAAATAATTTCTTGTAAGTGGAGTTTTAATTTGATGATAGTTCAACGGAAATGTGTGAATGAATCGTGCGATAAATTAGGTTAAAAATTAATTGGGATGAATCATTCTTATAAATAGTTCATTCTTTAGAGTTTTGACAAAAAACTTTTTCCTCAAGTCTCCTAGTTATTCAACATTCCATTAACAAGAACTGAGGCAAGTGATATTGCATCATTTGCTTAAGTGAACCTTGAATTGTGTTCTCATCAAAGCATTGCATGGATAAATTAACTCACTCTATAATTCAAGATTTAACAATTAAATTTTAATTTGATTCCTAATTTAAAAGTACCACACGTACCTCAAATTCTTTGATCTTCCACGGATAATGTTGTCTAACGTCAGCGGAGATGACACTTGAATTCTACAACCAAAGATTAAATTTCAGGATGATTTATTTTTTAAAACAAATGTCGGTTGCATTCCATTTATAAATTTACAATCCATCATTTCTAACGTAAGCGGAACTACATACCAAAGACAAGGGACTATTTTTTCTAGTATTTCTACGCGGTCGAAAGGGTACTCATCTCGGTCGTAAAAAGGGTATATAGTAAATGTTATGTTTAAGTAATTCATTTTATTGTTGTTATGTACTGCATATCATATGAATGTTGGTTATTGTTATTGTAATTGTGCACATGTTTGTCAAGATGTCTGTGTCGTGTCTCGTCGGTGTTCATGAATCATTTTCCTAAATATTCACATTCACAAATCACATCAGTCAGCTATATTGCCAGGCTTTGACGACTTAATTATTCAGTTATATTGTTATACACATTAAACCACATGCATAAAACAGCTTTACAATGATATTGTTCATTATGTCCTTTATTTTCAGGTTTGAATTTAAAGATTTATGAAACTTAAAACGAGATGTTTTGAATGTAAACAAACATACTCTCATTATTACATCCCTGTGAGATTATTTTAGTCAGTGGTTTACTTAGTAATCTTATCTTTATGAAATTTAATAATATTCAGTTTAATTATACGGACAGTTTACATGTTGATTAATCTATTTGGCCAGTATATAAATATAAAACGCCATGCTCAATTTATCTTTGATGTATTGAATATCATATATATGGTGAATATTTCTAAACATTAAACGAAATTTTAAATTCTGCAGCTTCTCAAGAGTCGTAATATACTTCAAAGAAACTCAAATTCATTTTTTGTGCTATATATGTCTGCAAAAGCAAGGAAAGTAGTTGTAGTTTAATAATTTTAAACTGAAAGAGAATTGCGCGAAATTCATTTTCGACAATTCCGTTGTACCTACAAAACGAGAATGTTGTTACGATATTGCCAATATATCAGATCACTTGAGCGAAATCGAATATACTTTAATAACTGTTGGCTTCTTGTAAATAAGCGACATAAAAACTTTAGCGCTAAACAGTAGTTTCGCCGGCTTAATCAATACCGCTTCCAGTTTTACAAGTATTGTGGCTTAAACCTTCATGTTTTATAAGAAATAGCTACAGCCAAATAACTATAAGTGCCATACTTTGTTATTGAGAACTATACTATCGTAGAGGTTTAGCTTGAAAGTGCTTCAAAGTGATTACATTTGGTCACCTCAGGGGATAGTGTTAGAGTATTTGTCTTGCGCATGAATAATTCAACGCCACACAGAATTTGAAACCTTATCCCTTCCGGCATTCTGCCAGTGCTACAACTATGAGTTTTATTCTTGAAATATTCTTAGGGTATGTCCCTTTTGGTTGTTTATTTGTATGTTTAAAAATTATTTACAGATTCAAAAAATAAATTGTTACTATATGGGCTAAATGATGACATTGATGATATTTAGAATTCAATTTTCTCGTGCATTTAGCTGAGGTTTGTCTTCCAAATAATATTTTGTCAACTGTTGAACAGAAATAATTGTATTATTATTTTGGTATTCGACACTAAATTTGAAATCTGAAACAAATGGGAATCGAATCGCAAAAATATTTATTTTATTTTATATTTATTTCTGTTTCAGTTATATTCAGGTCAAAGAAGTTATGACGTAGCAAATTAGAAAAATGTGTTTCTTTTAGTGACAAACACTGCCGATGTTGGTGAACCGCGGGCAATGTGTCTGGCTATCGGTTTATAAGTCGAACCTAGTGTTGTATCTTAAACTGTGATAGTTTCAGCTTGCATTTTCAAATTCATCCTGCATGTCTTATAGCAATTCGCTCTTGTCACGTATTGTTTATATATGCAGTTGCATATATTATTTGCTACAGAATAAAATATGAAATAGAACACCGTGTTGGTATTCATTTTCATGCGAATATTTAAAGAAGAATATTTCATAGACAACATGCAATTTCTCACAATGTTTCTGTTTCATATTACAGCAGCGGTCCTATTTATTATACCTATCTAGGTTTTGTACTGATTATGTATATTATTAATAATATCTTCAGTAATGACATGCCATATTTATTTGAAAATATAAGCCCACAAGACTCACTAAAATATTAAGTTTGTTTGGTTCAGGAATGGAGAATCGTGTTATTTGACAAAAAATGTCAAATATCCTGGCTTCAGTATATACTGTGGGGCAAAAGAAACTATGCATGTTTCTAAATATTATACAACAAACCGACAAACAAAACTAAATATTATACACAAGAAGGAAATGGTTATTCAACGCTGATGTATTTCATACGAGTTTTGTTTTAGAAATTGAGTTATCAGCATTTTAACCCAGAAAGGTTTCAACAACGTTTGTAATGCTTGTGGCATACGTGTAATGTTAAACTTAATACGTTCTTTGCCCGACAGTCTATAGGCATACTGTACACATCCTAATTAATCTTGTCAGTAAGAATTATAGTACGGAACAACGAATGATATTTTCAATCGCCAAGTAAGGCGCTTGGTTTCGTTGGGAGTATAAACATTTCGTATTTATAAAATACGTGTGATATCGTTGAAAAAAGATATTTTCGATACTTTTTTCACGAGAATTCGTTCAGAAAATGAGATCGTTCACAGATGATCAGTTTGGATAAATCACAATGAAGATGTGAGGTGAGGTGAAATTGGGTTTGACGTCGTGCTTGAGAATATTTCGCTCATATGACGACGTTCACAATGAAGAGTGATGAGAAGGAATGAATGACTCGGGAATTATGCGCCCAATACTCCGATAGAAATATTGAACGTTTAATCACACTGGAACATCTAATCGAGCACTGTTCACTTTACCTAGATAAATGTAATACATAGAAAGAAAATTTATGAAATTCTAGCTGTTAATCATATGCGCAGCTCATGTTTTAGAGTTATTGGCTCGGAACTTGAGAATCTGGGTACTAGCTAAACATGATATAAACAAATATAATCGTATGGTTTTATGGTCTCTCATTGTAACTTGGCCAAGCATTAAACAAACTATTTTTCTGTTAGTTTGGCTTAAGGCTGATCACAAAAATGTCAATGTAAAAATGTTTGGCTTTCTATTTGTTTGCCTTCCAACTGGGGCCATCTGTGAGTTGTTTGTTAAATGACAAAACTGTCCATACTCATTGCATTCGTTGCTGTTTGTTGTCGATTCTGGTTGAACATCAGTTAAGTGGAATGTGTATATAATTGATAACAGGGCTGAATATGGAGGAAGTATCATGCAACATCCAAACGAGCGTACAATCCAATGTTTCTCTGTCGTTATCGTTATGACGGAATTCACATCTTTTGTCAGAATGAAACATGTCCATCACTTTTCCATAAATTACCACGCATTATTTGCGATAGCCCTCGCGACGGACCACTGACAATGACATAAATTTCTTCTAAATCTGACAACCCCAAAGCTTTAATCATTCTCGCACGAGATCTAAATCGAAGCTAATCATTCGATTACATTTTAAATTCAATGTTATTTATCAGAATGTGAGTGCCCCTGTCTGCGGGCGAAGTCTCGCGAGACTTGACAGCCTGGTCAAACCCGGGTCACGTGGTGTTTCGGGGGTTCGACCAGCATGGTTGTAGGAGATACAATTGCGGTATTATTCGTCATAACGATTAAGCGTGCTAATTTCTTGTCTCATATTCCTACTATTGAAAGCCAGTCAACCTGAATTTATGGGCAGGTTGGGCTAGGGTCAATCGCCATTGTAATAGACAACTGAATTGTAAATGACAGTGCTGTTAAGCGACTCCGGCAATCTGCGGTCAACGTTCAGAAATGTTCCTCAATGTTTGATTTGAAGTACTTTTTCAAAGTCGAAAACGATAACTGAATCTAAGTTTTTTCTTATCTTGATTTAACACCAAACGAAATATACTAGAGGAAATATTTTTTATTACCCTCGTCTCTGAAATCGTGCCCTCTTCCGTCACGCCATGGTGCCTTTGCTATGTACAACAGCTATATATCAAAACATGTCAATTAAGGAATCGTAAAAGTCCATTAACTGCGTTGAATTACACTCCGACATTTAGCCAATATCTCAACACAGTTATGTGCCCCCTTGTGAGCTCTTTAGCCTCAGAAGTCTCCTTGTGCTTCGTGAATCGTGACAGCGCCACCTCGCGGCACTTACGTAATCAAAAGCCAGCCAATGGCTATTAAGCTTACAAATTACGTAATTAATGGCCGGCCATAAGGGAAATCCCCCATTATGACGTCGAAACGGGGGGTGTTGTCTTGCTGGAGACCTGTCTGTTCGATTCTTACACAACATTTTCTCTTATCAACCACATGGCAACTGTTCCGATGGATGGCCGTGCACATGTCACCTTGTCTGATTGTGATCACGTATAATTGATTACTTGAATAACCATTCCAAATCGAAGATGTTAATTGTAAGCTGCGACAGCACTCTTGATTATCCATGATCGTTTACTTCCATTTATTAGTTGAAATTTCCGAATCCGGTCGCGTTAACCATACAATGGTTTAAATTCACAATGCTTTTGATGTTAAGTGGATAGAAAACAAAGTTTTACACATATGGGTATCGAACTCAAAAGACAAAGTCAAACCATCCGCTCGAACTCGTTAAATGAGACGAATCGAATTCTCAACAGTTTCTCTCAACAAACAGGTAAACATTGGGTGTTCTGGAACCCGGAAATTCCAGTATTAAATACACAACAATGGTATAAGATAGGTAAAATCAAAATGATACGGAAATTCCACCAAATGCTCTGTCTCATTTCATATAATAATTTACATTTAAAGAACAGATATCTCGAAACTGGAGATCTTTGCATTGGGACGAAATGACATCCGAAATTCGAGACGAGTGGATTGTTTATCTTTAATACTGAGCTGCTGTTGTTGCTACAAGTTAAACCTTCCTAAATGATATCGGTATAAAGCTTTTAGACTTAACGGGGCTTTTATGAATGTTTGAGCATATACGAAAGAACTTCAACACCTGAAATGAAATGGTCGAGATGCATGCAAATTGAATCTTTGACAATTATTCAAGGACACAAAAATATAAACATCACTGTACAAAGTATTTTCCTCTGACAAATGCCATGTCATCTCCATGTGTCAAATTCAGATGCACATTTCACAATTTGTCATTATTTGTCATCACCCTTATAAAAAAATATTAAATACATGTACGTGTATATTGTCACCGACAGTGCTTGAATATTAATCACTTGAGCCAACATATAAGTGCATAACTACAACGAGAGAGTAAAGATGCAAGTTTACTTGAAAAACGATACATCTGTCATCTGTCACATATAGCAAGCTGTATGCCGTTTGATGTATATATGTACGCGAGATTGGCGTCAAAGGGAGGTAAACATCGTCTACATCATACATCATACCGACCACTGCAAGAAATATGATCTCCTTAAGAAAATAACATATTGTTTATTCCAACGTTTACAGCGGATTGAGAAATGTATTAAAGAAAACCTTTAAATTTTCCAGGCGATGATGTGTTTTTAAAACTAGATTTGCTGTTTTTTAAAGCAGGGCTTGAACGACTGCCCTTTGGGTCTGATTAATGTATACCGTTCGTAATTTGAAAGAAACGCTATATTTGCCTTGTTAGACAAAAGTTTGGCTAAAACATCGCGGACTACTGCTCTGTTACGTTGATACACACCTTCATGCTTGGCATCTCATCTCAAACAAAACAAACAGAAACACAGTATACCGAAGGAAAGGAAAATATCGATCCCTTCAACACAAACGCCACAAGTCGGTATGTCTGAGATTGTTTACAGCGCACGTAAAAGGTCTTTCATAAGCGCGCTACAAGGTGCACTGACCAGAATTATCGCCGAACGAAAAACAATATCTATATTTTTAAGACTCAGTTTAGTAACATCCAGCTAATATATTGTGAATAAACTTTAAAAAACAGCATTTAGATACATTTAATCCAAAATTCGTATCGGTACATGTAAATTTATATATATGTATACGAAGACGCAATGAGTAGTACTCTAAAAGGGCGTGAAAACCTGGTCACGATATCAGGCCCACGGGAGGGAAAGGCGGTGAGCAGAACAGCATTGCGGAAGAGGTTTATTGATGCTTTGCTGTTAGATGTCATTGCAATCAGTTTAAATGCTATGTCTGTCTCGATGATGATGCGGACTCGTCATCTTTTTATTAACATCCCTCTTCTCACTCCGTCCGCCGTTTCGGATCCTCAAATCTCGCCTTTGGTCGACAATGACTAAAAGCATATTATCACCACACCAGCAGGGTGCATTCTTTCTAGGGGTAGTTTATCCCCTCTAAACCTATCCTCCCGAATCATTATATACAGGGCGTAAAAGCGCCCGAGACGTCATGGCATCCTCGGGCTGTTAAACTTGAGATGGAATCCAGCATCCGCTGTGAGGACAGCGCTGTATCCCTGTCTGAAAACACGGGAACTGAGTGTCAACGGAGGAGAGCTCAATCAGAAATAAAAGCCACCTCTACCGGCATTACAGGGCTGCTTATACACACTGCCACTCTCATACGCCTTGGTCGTAAAAAGGGTGTAAAGTCCCTGCCGCTGTATAATTCCGAGCATACTTCTCGTATTATACCGTCCCCTGACAGCTAACACCTGTGAAAGAAGTACGAAGGTAGATTGACATTTCGTACCTTTTGTACGTTATCTAGGGAGGGATGTCACAATTTAAGCTCGAATATGTGACCCCCCTGAGAAGGAAACTGCCAGAGTGATGAAATTTAGATTTAAGAAGCTTTATGAAACGTAGTTATTACACGATTGTTGAGAAATGCACTGAGGTATTGCTGATTATGATGCATTTTTATGTATCTG